TTCGTGATAATAAATCCGCATTTACTCAGAATGATTATTAAGATATTAATAATCATTAATAAGTCAAAAATTTTATGAAATTCGCGATTCACAGCAGATTTGATAAAATTTTTGATATATAAACTTCTATGAAGTTTATCAAATCTAGTGTTAGCACTGTATGTAGCAGTAGATTTGATAAAAAATTCTATGAATTTCATCAAATCTAGTTGTAGCAGCAGATTTGATATAATTTCTATGAAATTCTACAATTACCAGTAGGTTTGTGATAAAAATAAATTAAACATTTCTATTTTTTAGACATTGATCTTTCTTATGTATAAATTTTTTTATTAGTAAAAACTTATGTTCTTAATAATAAGTATTTTTTTTAGAAAATTTCACAAAAATAAAAAGAAAATTTTGCTCCTTATAGAAAAAACGACCTCATTAAAATTTGTACCAGTTTATTTCTCAAAACTTGAAGTTTAAACAAAAGTTAAGGACAATTTTGTCCGCAATGGATGATATTAATATTAATATGATTTGGCCACCATTTTGTCTGCAGATGGTACAGTATATTGGCCATTGACGATTACAGATAATATTAACATCAATAAAATAATTGAACAAAATAATTATCCACAACATCAATATTAATGTGTTATTTAACTGATTTCAAGAGCAATAGTCCTTTCCGATCTGTCCGGCGTTTAGCAGTTTTGTTTGATCCCTAAATTTTTTTGCAGCATGCCCCATTTAATTTAAATATTAATATTATGTTAATATTTCGAACATTCCACGATACTGCACGGATAAACACACGATATAGGAAAAAGGCTTTAAATATTTTGATGGATTTATGTTTAAGAAATTGATCGGAATTTCAAAATTTTCTTTTGAAGCTTTTTAATCTCGGTATTGTAAAAAGTTTAAAGGGTTTTTCCAATGTATCAAGAATATTTTTATAATGAATGATATTTGTCTATTACTATTGTCAGATCACCAGCTTAAGATCGGCCGTGAATCATTTTTTCGTTCTTGATAAATTCAATAAGCAATTCTTTAATTTTCTCCTTGATATTTTTTTAAAATACTTTTGATAGTGCCATCTATAATGCTTGGATTTCATAGTAAGTTAGTTTCATATTTATATTTTTATATCGGAATAATACAATTTATCCCCTGGGTCATGTAAGCTTCCATCCCTGCCAGAAAGGGCTTATATGTTACCCAGGGATAATCAACTAGTATCATTTATATATGTAGACTAGGAAAACAATTCTCTCCAAATAAGATTATACACTAAATTAAAGTATCATGACAGAACAGCAAAAACCAAGATGTTTTTTTACCTTTGCACAGGAATAAGGTTGTGGGCGAAACCTCCTTAGTAATTGCTGAAACCATGGCAAAACTATATTAAATCTTATCAAAAATCCTGTTGAAACTATGCCGAAATGGTGAAACCTCAAAATGCGGAACTCTGCCAAAACTATAATAAACAATTAATGTGTAACCTGCCGAAACCCTGCTGATTGATTTCTGGAGGAGTTTCAGCAAGCAACCTTACACAGGAATAGGAAAATTTGGATTCAACTGAGCTGCTAGATCATATTTGTTTTCTTTTATGGGACTAGACCTAATGCTAAGAGAACAGGGGACATATCAAAGATGTCAGGGAGATGAACAAGAGTGAATGAAATGATGATATGCTGCCCCTTCTCAAAGATACAATTGGTAAGATCAAGTGGATATATCAACCAATTGGCTAAAACACAAGTATTCCTCCTGGGTGAACTCATTCCTCCATCTGGGAGTTGTACCTAAACATAAAAAAGGTTATGGATTGGTTGCTGTAAAGAGATCCTAATCAGCAAGGAAACATGTAGCTCAAAAACCAAAAGCTATTATTAATTAGTTGATGGAGGACTACAGTTCCCAAAAGGTTATGTAATCATCTCACCCAAACAACCTATCCCTAATACTTCCAATGAAGTTATTATCATTCTGACTCTGAAACTTGAGTTCAAATGAAGAGGATTATCAAGAAATTAAAAGAGAACTCAATTTTGTGAGTTTTTCTGTACATAACTATTATTTAGGGAAAATATCTATTATAGATGAGGCAGATGCTTTTGAATTAAAGATATGAATATTTTCATGTTATGCAGATTCAGTGGGTTTTTTTTATAGTACCGTTTGGCAGGCCAATTAGAGATTACCAATTAGTAGGCTCTATGAATAGTGAATGCAAGGCTGAAATTTATCCAGAAGCCTATGCTACTAAATGAGGTAAAGGTAAAAAGAATAAAGTTTCTACCCCTTAGCAAGAAAGCAAACTATGATATTAACAACCAAGCACTTACCTGGTGTGTTACTTTCTGTTAGCTTAGTGTTTTTAAGAGCATTCTTTCTATTGTGATATCTAGCCCTGAAATTTCCTGTGACATAACATTTAATGATTTTTTTCACAATAAAATTATAAACTCGGTTTTAGTTTGCCCTTTAACTGGCTCAAACCAAATTGTTCGGATCTTTATTTAACTTAATAATAAATATATCGAATGAATTATTTTATTTAATATAATTAATTAATTAATTATGTATATATATATTATAAATAATTAACCAAAAAAACCAAAATTTAATTAAACAATAAAGTTAAAACGAGGAGTAGTATTAGTATTACTACCCATAGATTCAAATTCATTATCTCGTCTATTGGTTGCAGTAAGAACATGAGCAGCTCCACCAATTGTTTCACCACATTCTGGACAACTAAAATTAATTTATTTTAATATAAGAAATGAAAATATACATTTAGAAATAATATAAACTCACACACTCATATATATATTACCTGCTTGTTACCATTGCTCCACCACAATCTCCAATAGTATACTAAAATAAATAAAAATAGAATTGATAATAAATAATTAGCGTACATGCCTTTCTTTTTGTTAAAAAATAATTAAATTTTTTTTTATATAACGTACAGGATGACCATTGGGACATTGATACCAATGACCTATTCAAAAATAAAAATTAAATAAATAATAACAATTAGTAGAGTTTTTTAAAAACATAAAATTAGTAACCAAAAAATCCATTACCAGATCCTCTAAATTCGCTAGCCATAGCTCTATGAATTTCCATCTTCTCTTCTCTTGTCAAAATACCAGCCTTCGCTGCCACCTCTTCAATTTCATCTATATCTTTTAAAATTTTATTAATTCTCTCAATACATTGACCTACAAAATGGTTCATATTTTGCATCTTGAATAACTTATTATTTTTAATTGTATCACACTCTTTACGTAAACTTTTACATTTATCTAACAATTTGTCTTGCTTTTTTTTGGTCATTGATCTTTTTTTTGGATTTCTTAATTCGAACCTGGCTATAGAACATTCAAACTCCAACGATTCTAGATGAGCCAATGCATTCATTTTTTTGGATTTGGAAAGATCTGATGTAACAATTATTTCGTTAATGTGTCGTTTCCGTGACTTAATTAAAGCTTTATGAAGTTTTAGCCAAGCATTTCGCGATTTTGTTATATTTTCATTGGAAACATTGGAAACTGAGTCATTAATTTCAGTTATAATTGAAGTTACTTCTTTAAGCATCAAATACTGAACATTCAAGATTTCAAAAAAGGCTTCCAAATATAATCTTTTATCAATCTGTGGAGTAGGTATTCCAACTTGTTGTAGCGTTTCTTGTAATTTTTGCTGCTTCTGTCGTGCTGTATTAGCAACTCCAAGATTCAAGCTTGATTCAAAATTTTTTATCAAATCGTCATAATCGGGTTGTGATTTTGATTTTTCATTATATCTGAAACAACAAAAAATTTTAAAAAATTTAATTTTAAAGAACAAAATCTAGAATAGCAATTTTTATTCATCTTCCAGTAAAATAATACTTACAAATTTGTTACAGCAGCTTCAAATGCCAATTTATGCGGTGGGGTTTTTGTTGAAGATATTATTGATGTTAATTCTTTATAGATCTCCAATAAATATTTAACATGTTTTTTCCAATCGGATTCCTGTGATGCAGCAATTGAATAAGCCTCGAGATTACCAAATTTTTCATAACTTGTAACTTCATTAGCGTCAAATCGATAGTTTTTATTATCATTTTTAGTTTGATAATTTATTGTAGGATTATTACAATTTTTAATTATGTTTTCCAGGAATTTAGCCCTATTTGTTTCAAGTGTTCTAATGCTATTTTCTAGACGATCTTTTTGTGTCTTCAATTTCAATTCATAAGTCATTAAAAATTTCTTGTTTTGAACATCCAAAGTAAACTTCTTTATCACTCTACCATATCTATGAATATTTTTAATTGGCGCTCTACAATTAGGACATACTTTGATTTTACGAGGTTGATGTGTGATTGGTTTAATTGCTGTCCAACCTTGTGGATCGCCTTCATAGAAATCTTGCATTTCCATATGACCATCCATTGATTCCATTGTAAAAACATGACCACACTCTAAAACTATCATACGCTCTTCATTCCAATTTACATCCTCAAAAGTACTTTGCATCACCATATCCGCAACTTTAAACAATTTATATTATAATATTATTATCATAATTTTTATTTTTTTCAAAACCCCCTCCCCCTTTTAGATAGATTAAATTAAACAAACCTTGTCTTTTAACATTATCCGATGCGTGATTAATACAATATTCTTTTGACGGGCATGTTTCACCACAAACACCGAAACATTCACATCCACATTCCAATCTTTTACGACATTTTTCATTACAAGGTAATCTTGAACACGGAGCACCGCAACTCAAATTACATTGACCTTGATGTTCGCATTCCCAATCACAAGGCTCTGCACATGCTGCACATGGTTCAGAACATTTGAGTTTACATTTAGAATGTCGACAAGAAATATTGCAAGAATCTTTACATAATGGACAAACTTTGCCCTTATGACAACTTTCTTTACAGATGTGCCCACAGAATTGGTTGCTATCACAAATCTTTTTACAAGGTGCGTGATGTGATCTAACAATGTCCTGCACACCGGTTAATGCATTCAAAGTATTTTCGCCTGCTTTCGCTGATCTTCTCTGACACTCGTGACATTTAGATTCACATTCATGCTCGCATGGCAGAAATGAGCCGCATCTTTGCATACAATCAACATCAGAAAGATTTTTCCAACACTGTTAAGGTTAATGTGCATGCATTTTTGTAACGAAATATTGTTAAATAAGTTAATATGAACTTTAACAAAATGTTAACAATGGCCAAAAATTAATTGCATCGTTAAATTACCTCTACTGATTGTTCATGTTCACAATGAACTAGACGACGAATAACTCTTTTTCGGCATCGAATAGATGTGATATTACGTTCTTGATCACATTTGGCGTCCCTATAATTATGCCCACATGGCAAAAGAATATCACCAACTGCAAATTTACACGAACCACAATCATCTCCACATAACCTAGAGCATGGATGTCCACACTCTCGATGCATTCTTGCGCAAGGTTTTTTACAATAAACAGTAACGTGCTCGGGATCATCGGAATGACATTTGTATGGACCTTAGTTGAAATAAAATAAAAATTTTTAATGAGCTTTTTTGTGTTAAGAAAAAATTCAAATATAAAAATTATTAATTCTTACATGAATGACCACAAGGTAATTGTTGTTTACAAGTTTCAAAACATCCACCATCTGGTGAAACTTCTTCAAATTGTTTCGCTTCTGTTATCACGTTCTTATAAAATTTATGTATATTACATTCAATAGGAAATCCGGTTCCAACTTGTTCGCGAGATCTTAGAATGTTTACAACAGTTTTCCACATATCAGAACCTGTTGACATTAGATCAGCATTACCAAGCAAATACATTCCATGTTTTGCACGTGAAAGTAAAACATTTGTACGATTTGTAGATTTTAAAAATCCAATGGAACCACTTATTTCTTCGCCTGAATTGGGAGAATTACGCACAAGTGATATGATGACAATCTTTGCTTCTTCACCTTGAAAGTTATCGACAGTTCTCAAAGTAACCTTTTATTATTGATATTTATTATATTTAATATTTCAAATAATCCCAAAAAACATAATATAAAACGAATTAACATAATAAATGGACATCTACCTTTTGATTTAAATCTTTTTTTGTTGCAACTTGAAACCTTTGAGTATCCGATAAAGAGGATTCCTCATGTGCATTCTCACTTTCTTCATTATCTTCTTCAGTCATAAGTGAAATTTCTTTCTCATCCCTCTCGTCCAAAAGCACGACAAATTTTTTTTTTAATGCATCTCTTATCTTGATCATTTGAGCAAGATACGGAGTTAAAACTGCAATGTCTCCTTCACTTGTATAACCATTCCTTACAAAATATTTCACCATTTCCACAATCATTTCAACTTCATATTTATTTGAATGCGATCTTATTGCATGTTCATTAAGATCAACATCCTCTTGGTGTCTATGGTCAAGGAAGTAGACATTACGTTGTACTCCACGAACATTTTCATATTTCTTGGTATCAACATGGTCCACGAGATTTGGATATAATGCTCTTCTTATAAGATCAGATATTTCCTTGGCTCTCATTCGCCTTTGAGTAGTTAATTGTGACTTTTCCAGCTTCATTGCATTATCACCATGCACAAGCCTTTCAAATAAACTTTTATCCAGTTGATATTTTACTCCAGTTCTTGAATCCATTGTCAAGTTATATGTGGCACAACGTGGCCTTAATTGATTATGATCCCCAATAAGTATCAAATGTTGTGTAGACGGCGATAAAGAGCTCAAGATGTGTGGCTCCAGTACTTCACCAGCCTCTTCACAAACAATTATTCTCGGATTAACAGATTTTATGAGAGACTGATATTTTGCAGCACCATGAGTTGTCATTCCAATCATATCACATTTATCCAAGACCAATTTTCTGCCTTGATCAAAAATCCTTTCCAGCTCTTTTGCATTTTCTTTGTATTGACGTTGTAAATTAGATAATTCTTCAGTCAGCTCTTTATTTATTTCCTGCTTCCAAAAATCATGCAAGGTCAATCTTTCTTTTTGTGACATTCGCCAGATATTTGTGTCTTGTAGTAATTCTTCCAAATTCCTATCCCTTTTTGGTTCAGTCCAGTCTATGAGATAACTGATAAAGTACTGATCCGTTTGGTCATCATCATTATCACCATCACGATTATTAGGATCTTCAAGAACAGTAAAAGGATTGTGTGTGGCTTTCTTCTTGCCATTTGCATTTTTGTCGGGTTGATTTAAACGAGTTTTATGTTGACGTGCTTTTTGAAGATCAATGCCACTTAACCACTGTTCGAACCAATGTCTATTAATGCGACGGCCTTTTTTATCCTGAGTTTGCCATTCATCATCATCATGTGGGCTGTGTTTAACATTGTAAGTATCAAGGAGAAAACTCGGTATTTCGTCTGGCTTCCTATTAAATTTTGAATAAAATTCATGATATTCATCTACCAAAAATGATGCTACATTTTTCCAAGTAAGCCGTGGTGAGTTCAATTGATCATTAATCTTATTAACGCTGTCTCTTATTTCATCAAGTTTTTTGTGGGCTTGCGCTAATAAATATCGCTCACGAGGAGTTTTTGGTCTATTACGAACAATATCCTCAAGATTAAATTCTCTAATTACTTCAGATTTTGAACGAGATCCTAATCTTACGAAATTATCTAATCCGGCTTCAAAGAGATCCTATTAAAAAAATATTAACTATAAATAGCGAATAATTATAGGTATAATTACAATTCAAAAAACAATTTTATTTTAGTGCTCATCACCTCTAAAAATTGGTCGAGTGCGTGATTTGTAAAACAGATTGTCAAAATTGGACCTAATTTAGTTGCTTCGCGATTTTGAGGCGCAAGAAGAACTCTCATTAATTGAACACCAACATATGATTTTCCTGTTCCAGGTGGACCTTTTTATTTTTTTTAAAAAAAAAAGTAATTCATTAATATTTTTTTTTTTTTGATAATTTTTTTAAAAAAAAGCTGTACCTTCAATCAACGCGATTTCTTTAGAAAGTGATGATACAAGAGCACTCGCTATGTTATTTAAAAAAAAAATTTTGTTTAAATAATATTTATCTATTATCAATAAATATCGCATATATAGATAGATATTAATATTAACCTTGCGTATCATCTAATGAGCTATATTGAATAAGTTCATTAATTACATGATCATGACTTTTTTTGTCTGTGACATTCAAACGAAGGTTTCGATTTCGATTTTTAGCTGTAAGTAAAACTGACAAATCAAATTGAAACGAAGGGGCACTTGCATAAGTTGGAATTCCAACTTTTTTATTATCTTTATCAGTTGGAATTGATGCCAAATAATTTGTAAACGGCATTGTTTTAGGATCGATAGTTTGAAGAGTCTTTAAAATATGAAAATAAGATTCAAAATAGACACCAGTTGGTTCTACCATAAATCTATAATTTTTATTATTTTTATTATTTTTGTTGTTATTATTATTGATATTTATATCTTTAGATGCAATAGTATAAACTGGAATATCCATAAATTCAATTTCAACTTCACATATGTTTTTGTCTTTAGCCATTGCCTTTTCGTTACGTGTTGCAACAGTACCAAAAAATAACTCGTATTTATTATTAACAGGTTCTTGATTATCAATTTCATTTATTCTTGTCGTTACTCGATTTAACATAGTCACATCATCCATTGGCCATATCAAACAAACTAAACTACCGTTCATTAACTTTTGACTTTTTTCCCAATATTGTTGCCTATCTTTCTCAGTTCTTGCCGATCTCATGCGTGGTTGTTGAAAAGCAACTTTGCATAGAAGACCACGTTTTTTATCAACATTTATATTAGTGAATTTGATATCGTTGTATAAATGAAGATCGCCGCTATCTATTTTATTATTTTCATCTTTAAATCTACCATTTTCACGAAATCTTTTCAAACGAGCATCGTTATTTTTTGTGAATTCATTAAGCGTATTAACAAAACTACATATTCCATTTCTAAGCGGAGATAACATGTCCTCACGTAACAATCTAAACCTAATGTCTAGAAGACGTTCTGGACCATGAGGTAACCAGTGTTGTGCATCTTGTATTACTTCTGGCAAAAATGGCTCTCGATTACATAATATTTCTTCTTTTGTTGGTATAATTGATATTTTTGTAATATCACTATGGTCATTATTGTGTCTTGGACCATCATTTGAAAGATCGCCTATATTAAATTGTGTATGAAAAATGTCATTAAGATAAATAAACCATGACAAAAATTAAACAAATAGTCTAACAAATCGAAAAAAATGTATAATTGTGTGTGTAAATATATGTGGTAAGAATACCTGGTGGATCATAAGTTCTCGCAGAATCAATTTTTAATCCAATTCCTTTGTAAAGTTTTGAAAAGAAACTTTGTGCAGTTGTAGTAGATTTGGTTGGTTCTTTTGGCTTATTATAAATGGTCAAATAACTTTTGAAGAGGTTCATTTCTTTATCCAAAATATTAAAAAAATAATTTCTACTATCCGGATTAGTAGCAATAGGATCGTGCGTATCAATTATTGAAGTCCTTGATTGGAAAGAAGATTTCCATTTCGTTATCGCAACTTCTAATCTGTCATAAACTTTAAACATGATAGGATCGCTAGAAAGATTTTTGAAACGCTTAAGAAGTTGATTTAACAATCTGACTATAACCAAAAAGAATTGACCAATCCTATAAATAATAAAATAAATTAATCGATAAATAAAAATAATTTCATAATTCCATTATTAAGTTATTAAAAATGATATAACTTACGAAGTTGGTATAAAAGAATCTGGATCGTCATTGAAAATGATCTCTCTTGCGTCACGATTGTCTACCAAGGAATTTCTTTCAACAATTATTTCCAACATAGTGATAACTTTTTCAGCAATAAATTGCTCCTTTAACAAATTAAATAACAGTAAATAGACATTATTTAATTGATAATAATTTTACAAATTTATAAGTTAATAATAAAATTTTACACAATACCATATTTGAACAAATAACAGAATATATTGCATGAATTTTAGTTTCATAAACAGAGTTAATTATTCCTGAACGGATTAATAGAGCTAAAAATGGCAAAATGACTCTTTGATATGAAGCCACACTAGATTGTAAACCCGCATCAACTGATACTTCAAACATCACGATTTCACGAATTCTGTTCAACCCATCAGGACTCCCTAATCCAGTGACCAATTCTTCGATATCACTGCCATTTTTGTCAGTGTCTATAAGACATGAATTAACAAAACGTCTTATATGATGTTGATTTTCTAGTTTCTTCCGAACTTTTCTTCTCCAAGTATTTTCATAAATATCGCTTTCCATAAGAAACACAATTTTATCACTACCGTCGTAAGATAATTGAGAAGAGCTGAAATTATTAGATAGTATTTGCTGTTGTTTTTGAACTTCTTCTGTAAATTGACGTGGATTATTTTGTACTGGAGCTTGTCTGAATTGTTGTCTTGCATTATTGTTGTTATTATCATTGGGCCTAGCTTCGTCAAAGTATTCGGTCCCTCTCATATTATCATTATAATCGTTATTATCATGAAAGCCACGATCATTATTTCTAGAATTATTGTCACGGCCTCGGCCTCTATGTCTGAATTGTTGTTGCCTTGCATTATTGTTGTTATAATTACTATTATTGTTGTAGTTATCATTTGGCATAGCTTCGTCATAGTATTCGGTCCCTCTCATATTATCATTATAGTCATTATTATCATTATTTCTAGAAATATTATCACGGCCTCGACCTCCACCTCTACCTCCACCTCTACCTCTACCCCTAATTCGACCTCTACCACCACCTCTACCACCATTATTATGATTATTTCTTGCCATTTTAACAACAAATATTTAGGGGAATTAATTTATTAGAAACGATTTATTTTATTTTATATATATATATGAACATGTCATTGTTTCTTCATTTGGAAATACATCTTGCAAATCTGTGCCTATTTTATATCACAAAAAAAACACGTATTACATTAAAATCTATAACATTAAAAATTTTGTTATTATATTAAAATCTTTGTTTCATTCTTGTAGAAACTGTTTTCAAATTAGCGTAGACTTTTCCAGGTGGACTGCCTAATATTAAAGAAACTATAGCATCTTTGGCAACCCTGATGTTTTGAAATGATCCTAATATATGTATCGAACTAATATATTTATATGTGGTAAAATATTAATTCACTTATAAATATCAAAAGAAATCTAATATAATTTATACATACGAATCAGCCAACACTATTCTGGTTTTCGAAGTATTTTCAATTGCAAATTTTACTTTTCCATTTTTACCTGCTATACGACCTATAGCTCTAGATAGATGATCACCTTCTAAAGTTTTAACTATTTATTAAAAATAAATGCATGATTAAATAATAGAAAAGAAATAATTAAATAATTAAAAAAAAAAAATTCTTCCCACCATCTTTGATATCAAATGAATCTATATACAAATCATCTACACGTAATATAGCTATAGCATCCTTAAAATAAAAGAAGCCATCAAAGTTAGATGATTAAATCACTTGTATAATAAATACAAATATTTATATGTAGATATTAATTACATCAACATCAAATCCCATCATAAAAGCCTTAACAAAATCAGCGGCTTTTTGTAATGCACTTGGATCGGTTGTATATTTGGATGTCTAGAAAATATTCAACGAAAAATAATTGTAAATTTTTTAAATAATCAATTTAACATAATTAAAATATCAATATAATTAATACTTTTAATTCGACGTTATTGGTCTTTGTATTCATTCTAATTTGCAAATTCAAATGTTTCACTAAAGGTTCGTAAATTTTTCTCCATTCCTTTTTCAATGGCGTGAATCGATTTGCCGGTACGTTAATTTTACGCATTTGTGTTGTGCCATCCTTTATTAACATATATATTTAAATTGTCCTGAATTAATTATCAATAGAAAAAAATCATATCATCAATAAATATATATTTACCATCATTTCATGAGCTTTCAAAGGTCTAAATTTTAATTTTTCATTATTATTATTATTGTTGTTGTTGCTGCTGCTGTTAATATTATTATTATCGTCATTTACTACCACATCATCGTCAATTATCATTTGATCTTCATCAATGATCATGTTTTCATTAATTGATGACATTATTCAATTTTTGAATATAAATAAATAGATGATAATTTTTATTTTTTTAAATTTTTTAAATCTAAAAATCGACAACCCCAAGATATAAAAGTAACGTTTCACCAAAATAATTGTTCATTTTAAAATCGGCCTTATAGTAATAGAAATTAATAAATTTTGATGTCAATATAATAATAATCCATTTTTTAATTTATTCAAATCTTGCTTTTCAGTTGCCACCTTTCTTTTGGCATTCTACTCATTTACTTTATTATCAGTAAATATTACACACATATTTAAGTTTATATCATAATGGGAAATTGCCTATCATGTTTCTTTGGAAGTATGTTGTATTTTAGATCAAATTATAATTGGTTTTTCTCCTAATTTATATTAACATTTTCTATTATATTTTTTTTTAGAAAGAACACGAAATGGATTATATGAGCCTTTGTTACAAGAAAATGAACGTGAGGCAGTAGCTGATTTATTAACATATCTTGAAAGTAATTATGAAGTTTGATTTAAATGCTCGTTATTATTCATTGTTTATTTGATTGAAACCATTAACATTTATTAAATGGTTATCTATTTTTTTTTTAGATCGTGCCGAAACAAATTTTTTTGAGGGTGACCCATTACGAGCTCTTTCTACATTGGCGTTCTCGGACAATGTAGAGTTACAACGTTCTGCTGCTTTAGCATTTGCCGAAATTACAGAAAAAGGTTTCCCTTAAATATTGTAATTTTTTCATTCATCAATTACAAAAGGAAAAAAAATAAAGATCTATATCTTTATTTTTGGATCTTAACCTATCCAAATTATTTAATGCAAAAAAAAAAATTTATATCAAGATGTTAGGGAAGTAGACCGAGAAACAATGGAACCAATAATGTTTCTTCTCAAATCTTATGATGTTGAAGTTCAAAGAGCTGCGTCTGCTGCATTGGGAAACCTAGCTGTTAATAGTAATTATTTAGATTATATTCATTTATAAACGATATGTTATAATCACCCATACTTTTTTAATGATTGAAAAACTTTTTATATGTTTTTCAGCTGAAAATAAATTATTAATTGTTCAAATGAATGGATTGGAACCTCTAATTCGACAAATGTTATCTCCAAATGTAGAAGTTCAATGTAATGCAGTGGGCTGTATCACAAATTTAGCTACTCACGGTAAAAATAGGATTACTTTGTACATCAATTTATTTATTTTATTTCATTCTTTACTTTTATTTTTATTTACCATTATCAATTTCTCATTTAGATGAAAATAAATCAAAAATTGCAAGATCTGGTGCTTTAGTTCCGCTCACGCGTCTAGCACGTTCAAAGGACATGCGTGTACAAAGAAATGCAACTGGGGCACTGCTAAACATGACTCATTCTGGTATTATTATTGGTTTTTTATAGAAAAGATTTATTTAAAATGTACTTTAAATGCGATGTTACTTAATTTTTATAGATGAAAATAGGCTACAACTTGTTAATGCAGGTGCTATACCTGTGTTGGTGAACCTTTTAAATTCACCTGATACGGACGTTCAATATTATTGCACTACTGCTCTTAGTAATATTGCCGTTGATGGTATGTAAATGTAATAATGTTAATAGTGCAATAATAAACTTTTTCCATTAATAATTTCATTTTATACATGTATATAATTTTATGTAGCAACAAATCGTAAGAAACTTGCTGCAACTGAATCAAGATTGGTACATTCTCTAATTGGATTAATGGATTCTACTTCATTAAAAGTTCAATGTCAAGCAGCTTTAGCATTAAGAAATTTAGCATCAGATGGTACCAACATATTTCCTATATATTATTCCTATATATTATTGATAATTGTATATAATTTAAAAAAAAAAACAATTTTAAATTTTTAGAAAAATACCAACTCGAAATTGTTCGTTCTCGTGGCTTACCGCCGCTTTTAAGACTTTTACAATCATCATTTTTGCCGCTTATTTTGTCATCTGTTGCTTGTATTCGTAATATTTCAATCCATCCACTCAATGAATCTCCAATAATTGATGCTAATTTCTTATCACCATTGATCCAACTTTTGGCCTATGAAGAGAATGAGGAAATCCAATGTCATTTTATCGGTTTATCACAGTGATTAAATAACAATATGAAATTGACTGGTTTGAATTCTTGATGAGTTTTTTGATTTATTTATTGATTTTCCGTGATATGTAAAATTACTATTTTGAATAAAACGGATAAAACGATAAACGGATAAAACGAAAGAACCTAAAATTCTAACCAATATAGGTTTGTTTTGTTTTTCTTACATGATTCTCCTTCTATATCATTTAAATTTAAAGGTATATTTTCATTTACGTTTTCATTCAATTTATCAATGTCAGTATCAATTTCTTCACCAAACAAACCATTAGAAGTTCTCTCTTGATTTCTGTAAGTTGATTTTCTTTTAGAAACACGACTCATTATAAAGATTTTCTGGCCATAAAAAATATATCGGAGTTTAATGTTTAAGTTTACAAATTTATTTGATTAACTATAATTTCTTTAAAATCGCTTTTGAAAATTTATCACGCGATTGTATCGGCCAATCAGAATGATTGAAAGTAAGTCCCGAAATTTACATAATATTAATATAATCACACATACCTTTAATAATAGCAGTAACATCAGTGCTTGTATCTTGAAATAATTATTTACATTGATATATAAATGTATAAATAAAACCATTAATAAAATTTTCTTTTCTTTTAACCTATATATATTACATATTAATAACATCTCCATCAGATCCTTGTAATGCATTAATAAATAAATACTTTTTAATTTAATCATTACACTTCTAAATATATATAAAAAATAGATGAAATAAAAATTAATGAAGCTAACCTTTAAAAATATTAAAAAAACCAAATTAATTCCATTTTATTAATAGCCATTCTTGAAAAGAGTCTGTTACACGAATTTGGTTTTGTTTGAAAATATTAAATAAATTTTGTTTGATACAATCTTCTATTTCATCCAGCAATGTATATTAAATATATTAATATTATTAGGTAAAATGTTTATTATTATTATGAAAATAATCTTTAAAAAGCAAATTTGAAGTTAATACTTTTCTATAAACAAATTATGTAATTTAAAAAAATAAACATTTAAAGAACTTAACTATTGCATTTATTATGAAAAAAATTAAGCCCAGTGAAATTGTGCATGTTATCCAGTTTCTTAATTTATTATTATTATAGAACTTATAGAACTGGTAGTCCAACTTCATGTTAAGATTATCGCTTAGTGGTATTTGTTTACCCTGGCAAAAAATACATCAAAATAAAGGTTTTTTCATATATTTGTTATTTTTTATGATTCAAGTAACAATTTGATTAAATCAGGCAAGTTTGTGTATGAAAACAGCATAGATAAAAATCCTATCATTGGCTGTTATTGTATTACAAAAATCAAGCGAGATTGACCAATGAAAATTGAAATTAAAAATCACATGTGCTTCCAAAAAAATTAATTAACATTTACTCGAGCAAAATGTATAATAGTTCAATTTTATTTATTATTCAATATTCTCTCTTCTTATTTTAAACTGGGGACTGGTAAAAAGAATTCTCATACAAAAACCATTTTCTGCAAAAAAAATTAAATAATCTTTTGTCTATTAATTGTTAATCAGTAAAAAACTAAAATAACATAAAATAATATAGAGAATAGTTAAAACTTTGGTTATTCTATAACTCAATGGAAATATAATGTCATAATATGCTGAATTGGCAAGTGTTTATTTCACATGAAATTTTTGGATTCCGTTCAAAGAAAATTAAAATGTAGATCATTGATAAATTTGGATGTTATGAATGTAATAAAGCGAAATTTAGAGCAAACGGCATTACTAATAAAAGTCAAAACTCAGCGTGGATCAGGAAAAGTTATTAATGGATCAGAAATAAACAATAGTAATATAACATTTGTGCAAAGTTTGAGGTGGTGTTATTTAATATGGGGCGCGCCACTTTTCTAAGTGACACTTTTTCGATTTTACAATACTCTTCACATATAAATTGTCGATCGTCTCTATTAAATGCGTGTGACCAATCTATCCAATGATAGGATTTTTATCTATGCTGGTGAATTGGGTGTATCATGTATATAAAGGTGAGCCTGTATGATTTTCTTTGTAATGATTTATATTTCGAGGAAGGAATGATGCATTAAAAAAAAAATTTAAAAGATTTGCTATTTCACGAAAGAAAATGATAAGAAAAGAAAGAAAATAATCAAAAGAATTAGAAGAAACTGGAGAAAAATCATTGAACAAATATTAGAAGAACAAGAAGCTGATATCGAAAAGAGACCGAGAAGAAATCACTAGGACAAAAATGGACCAATAAATGGGGAAGAAAAAATAGATTTGAAAATGTATTATATTTATTATAGACCATCAAGAAGAAAACCCGAACTCAACGGAATTCGGTTGATAATTTCGAACGAACTAGTACAAATAGAAAAATCATTGCCAAAGAAGTCACAAGAAAAAGAAGAGAATTACTAAACAAAGGAAAGGATCATCAACCTTGGAATAATAACTTAGCCCAAGATTCCAGATCTATGAGATAAGATAATGAAGGCTATCAAGGACTAGGAATGAAGTGTCGGGGGGAATCTGGTAACGAGTTCATGCGAAATTATCACTAAAATCAATCCAGTAAGAGTACATAAAACCCCAAGAGGTTGTCACGATACTCAGAATGATTAATAAGATATTAATAATATTTAAAGAAGGATTAATAATCCAAGAAAATTTTATGAATGTCATATAATCATTATCGTAACTCTTTTCTTTAAAATTTCAATTGGAAATTATTATACATTAATTGTTGCTAACAATATTAAGTAATTAATTAACAAACATTAGTAAAAGAAAATATGCGATGAATGACTAATGCTTCATTCTTTATGAAGTTCTAGATTTGATAAAATAAAAACCAAAAATTTTTTTGAAATAATTTTTTATTCTGTAAAAATTAGTAATAGTTGTTGACATAATTAATAGTGAAAGCCCATTCGAAATTAGTTTAATATTAATTGCCGATTCGCAAATGAATGAGAGGAAACCCCAAAATCTGCGCGTCCTACATAGAAAAATCTTTATTCATGCCACAAAAAAAAAAATAATACAATTTTTTGTATAAAGGTTGACAATTAGCAATTTTTGTGACGTTTTGCCAAAATTTATTATAAAATGCAATCTTTCTCTCATTCATTTCACGTATCACCAAATCAAAAAACCTAAGCTGCAAAATAATGATAATTTATTGATTCGTGTTATAACGAATCTTTAAACATTTTGCCTCCACATAAAAACATATAAAATTAGTTGAAACGTGTCCCCATAGATTCGTTGAAACGAGGTTTGACTGTATACGGGTTTGCTTAAAAAGTAATCAACCTTTGAACGTTTTGGGATAGTGCTTATGATCATAAGGATAATAAATAATAAGGATAATAAGAAAAAGAAATTAACAATAAGTACAACGGAATTAAATTGGTGAGAATGATCATAATGTTGTTTCACAAAGTGAAAGCGTAGTATAGAATACTCAATATTCAATATTCAATGATGATTAATGATTGATAAATGCTGAATGCTGAGTAGCTGAGAACTCGTTTTTTCATAATGTAATTTTTTGGAAGTGTGAGGTTAAAATTTCAAGGTATTTGTTATTGAAAATGCTTTTTGAATGTTTGGGATTTTGAATTCATGAAAATGATCATTGCCTTTTAAAAATGGTTCGAATCCAACCGGGAACCACATCAATGCCGTCAATGCTGCGATCAGATGATCTGTATTTTGTTAATTATTATTATCCTCAAAAATCCGGTTTTCTGATTTCATTCTTAAAAATCCGGTTGAAAATTCTCATAATACTATTTTAATTCTTTTTTTTCTTTCACTCACATGCTTTTTATTTAATTTCTTTGCTGATGCTAACGCTGATCTATTTGTTGTCCAAATGAAGCCTTAATTAGTTACCATTTTTTATTAATAATAATGAAACTAACGATATTAATATTAATTATATGTAAATATGTATTTATTGACTCGCTCTAACATATGTTCACATTACAGATCGTCCATCTTTTTTTTCTATAACCAGTTTAAGGTGAATTGGGTGTATCATGTATATAAAGGTTGAGGTGAGCCTGTATGTTTTTCTTCGTAATGATTTAAGGCTTGTTTGGTTTTACTACCTAAATGATAGCCCATTTGTGCAGTATATGATGAATTAAAAAAAAAATTTAAAAGGTTTTTGATCTAAGAAAGAAAGAAAATAACCAAAAAAATTGGAAGAAACGTTATTGAACAAATTAGAACAAGAAGAAAGTGACAAAGCGGAGACACCACTTAGAATCACTAGGACCAATAAACGGGGATGAAAAAATATATTTGAAAATGTATTATTTTTATTATAGACCATCAAGAACTCTACAGAATTCGGGAGAAACAATGATAATTTCGGATCAATAAACTAGCACAAGTAGAAAATCATTACCAAAGAAAGTGATTGATAAAACAGAAAGAGTAATTTCGTGATAATAAATCCGCATTTACTCAGAATGATTATTAAGATATTAATAATCATTAATAAGTCAAAAATTTTATGAAATTCGCGATTCACAGCAGATTTGATAAAATTTTTGATATATAAACTTCTATGAAGTTTATCAAATCTAGTGTTAGCACTGTATGTAGCAGTAGATTTGATAAAAAATTCTATGAATTTCATCAAATCTAGTTGTAGCAGCAGATTTGATATAATTTCTATGAAATTCTACAATTACCAGTAGGTTTGTGATAAAAATAAATTAAACATTTCTATTTTTTAGACATTGATCTTTCTTATGTATAAATTTTTTTATTAGTAAAAACTTATGTTCTTAATAATAAGTATTTTTTTTAGAAAATTTCACAAAAAATACAGTCAAAGCTCCCTATAACGAACCTCCGAGAAACGAACTAAGATTTTGGCCCCGATTTTTTATTAATGAAATTTGCTCTATATAACGAACTTTGTAGTTAAATGCTCTATTC